ACCACCAAGACACAAAGCGTGTTTTCTATAATTTCTAATATTTAGATCTGGTTACACAAAACACATATTTGTACGTGTGCCACTGTCTATTAAATTTTTAAAAACATTTATAAAAATTTAATCCGCTGTAAAAATTTAAATGTATTCTTTATATTTCCATAGGATTACTCTTTACGAAGCCCATTTTCAAAGACGCGAAAAAAAAGAAGGAAATATGAGCTTGACCAGGATTAGAATCAGGGACCTCTCTCACCCAAAGCCAGAAACATACCCTTGGAAAATCGATCCACAAAGGTTACCAAAGAGGTATGATTCAAAAATATTTCCATTTAAGATAGAAATAGTGAATTTTAGAAGAGGAAAAGTAATTCAAACTCCCTGTTCATGGTGTCATATATTTTCGGTAGTAACTACTATTACTTAAAATAATTTCTATCAAAGTGATTGAAGAATTTGGGATGAAACGGAAATTGATATTGGGACCTCTAGTAACCGAAGTAACAATAAGAAATGTAGAAAATCGAAGAGTTGCTGAGATATTATTTGAGATATTTTCGCTAAAAATAGTTCCTAAAAAAATGATTTCGGGCAATAAAAGCCAAACAATTACAATCAACTGAATATTCTCAGTTTCTTATAGACTGGAAATTAATTATTTCTGTTACTTTTCTAATAGTCCTTCGGAATTTAAAAAAAAAAACACCTTTCATCTTGGTTTTGCCGGGACACGAACCCGGCACCTGTAGCTACCTCTTTGAGAAATTTTCGATTGGTCTGTCATATTAACTTAGGAATATTACTTACAAATTCATTTATAGTATATGCAAAAAAAAAAAAAAATCATGTACTGAAATCTGAGATCGAGGCCTCTAAGATACAAGGCGAAAATATTTTTTTTTTTTTCAAAAAACTTTCTATTAAGCTAAAAATAAAAGTAACTTAGCACTAAAACGGGGTTTCAACCTAGGACCTCATGCACGCTAAAAGAGAAAAATTTACCGTAACCATCGAGATACGAAGTATTACATCAGTAGAGCAATAAGAGTAGTCAGCATCACAGAGGTAACCAAAGTTGGTATTATTCAAAAATTTATTTCTATTTAAGATAACATTCCTACATTTTAGTAGCAGAAACGTAATTACATAACCCAATTAATGAAGTCATTGAGATTCTGTAGTAATAAATAGTACGGAAACAATTAATTCATTAAAAAAATTTAAAGTAACCGTAAAGATTTAAAATGTAATTTTTGTAAATTTTTCGATTTACTAATCTTATTTATCAAATGGAATTTAAAATGAAACTGTTTAGTGGCTTTAGGCTCGACCCAAATTTAAACCACGGACCTATCGCACGCAAATCCAGAATAATAAACCTAGACCACCAAAATGTATCAGGCTTTCGTCCACTTCCAACATATAGCGCATGCAAAAAAAAACCGACATTTTTTTCCGCTGACAGCCCAGAACTAATGTATTGATCAAAATCTTGAAATATGTTTAAAAATGTCATCGGTTGAGAAAATTCAATCGAGTATCCTATTAGCGTTGGAATATTGTTTCCCGTATCCATTCCAAATCAGGAATCAGGACAAGAGGAGAGGATTTGGGACCGACCAGAAAAGGCTCTATCGCACGCAATGCCAGAATATTCTTCTAGTCGCCCTTCTAGCTAATTTGTACTCTACTCCACTTCGAAAATTTAGCTTTTGCTACAGCAAGTCTTTTCTGCGGCAAACACCGTAACTATGTATGTACGTTTAGTTGAAACTAATACATTCGTAAAACTTTCTACCCGAGAAACGTTTCTCTGACAGTGGTCTTTCATATATTTTGAAAATATTATACATGACAAAATTTATATATATAAAGCTAAAAAAGGCGAGAAACATCGGGCTCGACCGGGATTTGAACCCAGGACATCTCGCACCCAAAGCGGGAATCATACCCCTAGACCATCGAGCCACGTTTCTTTCGCTCGCTATGGGATTCAAAACTATTTCCTACTTACGTGGCATACTTAAATTTTAGTAGAAGGAAAGTAACACCACCACGCCATTCGAGCTTTCAAGTGGTACTGAAAATAGGTTCCATCAAAACGATTATCCATTGGCCTGACCGGAGTCGAACCGGACCTCTCGCACCCTAAGCGAGAATCATACCTCTAGACCATCGAGCCGCAGCCTCTGAGCTATTATTTGTATCTTCTTCCTAAATATAACTCGAAAATGCAAAATTTGGTTTAATGAAAATAAAATCTCTTGTACAAGACAAGCCATATCAAATATTGTTTTCTAAATATTCCAGTTTTGGCACGTTTTGGTAATGAACGGTTCACAGGTTTCGTTTTCATTCTTTTCATCACTTGGACTTGAAATTTCTCCATCGGATGGGCCAGAGCATCCCAGGAACTCTTGCGCTCTAAACATGAATAATGGCCTTAACAATCCAAACGAAAGATTTAACGACATGATCGCAAACTATAAGCGGATGAGATTTCTTCCAGTATTTCAGAGAAGGAAAAGTATACACAGCCAAGTCCTTGATGTCCCTTTTTATTTAGTGAAAATAATTACTGAAAATATTTTCGATCAAACAGCAAAACCATTTGGGTGACGCGGAGAGATTAACACTTGTACGGCATCAGAATCTAGAAAATCACTCTTTCATTCTATGATTTTATTCTTTAATCTCGCCGAAAATGAGCCTTCGAAAGTGAAAGGAGTCTCGGGCATAAAAACATTATAAAATCTAACAGTTTTCTTCAATATTCCAAAAGTACAAGGCAGTCTGAAACGACCGTTTTTCTTTCCGCTTCCTCATAATCATTTGAATTTAAAATGAAACTGTTTCTGCCGCTTTGGGCTCGGCGATTTGAACCCGGACCCTCTACTAAGCGAGAATCAATCCTAGACCACCGAGCCGTGTCAAGCTTTCCTCCACTTCCAACAATTAGCGCATGCAACAAAAAACGACATTTTTTCGGCTGACAGCCCAGAGCCAATGTAATGATCCAAATCTTGAAATATGTTTAAAAATGTCATCGGTTGAGAAAATTCGATCGAGTGTCCTATTACCGTAGGAATATTGTTTCCCGTATCCATTCCAAATCAGGAAAAGAGGAGAGGATTTGGGACCGACCAGAAAAGGCTCTATCGCACGCAATGCCAGAATATTCTTCTAGTCGCCCTTCTAGCTAATTTGTACTCTACTCCACTTCGAAAATTTAGCTTTTGCTACAGCAAGTCTTTTCTGCGGCAAACACCGTAACTATGTGTGTACGTTTAGTTAAAACTATTATATTCGTAAAACTTTGTTACCCGAGAAACGTTTCTCTGACAGTGGTCTTTCATATATTTTGAAAATATTATACCTGACAAAATTTATATATATAAAGCTAAAAAAAGGCGAGAAACATCGGGCTCGACCGGTTTTAACCCGGGACCTCTCGCACCCAAAGCGAGAATCATACCCCTAGACCATCGAGCCACGTTTCTTACGCTCGCTATGGGATTCAAAACTATTTCCTACTTACGTGGCATACTTAAATTTTAGTAGAAGGAAAGTAACACCACCACGCCATTCGAGCTTTCAAGTGGTACTGAAAATAGGTTCCATCAAAACGATTAATCCATTTGGGCTCGACCGGGAGTCGAACCCGGGACCTCTCGCACCCGAAGCGAGAATCATACCTCTAGACCATCGAGCCGCAGCCTCTGAGCTATTATTTGTATCTTCTTCCTAAATATAACTCATGAAAAATGCACAATTTGGTTTAATGAAAATAAAATCTATTCTATAAGACAAGCCATAGCAAATATTGTTTTCTAAATATTCCAAGTTTTGGCACCCGTTTTGTAATGAACGGCGGTTCACAGGTTTCGTTTTCATTCTTTTCATCACTTGGACTTGAAATTTCTCCATCGGATGGGCCGAGATTTCGCCCTAGGAACTCTTGCGCTCTAAACATGAATAAGGGCCTTAACAATCCAAACGAAAGATTTAACGGAGCGACATGATCGCAAACTATAAGCGGATGAGATTTCTTTCCAGTATTTCAGAGAAGGAAAAGTAATTACACAGCCAAGTCCTTGATGTCCCATTTTTATTAATGATAAATAATTACTGAAAATATTTTCGATCAAACAGCAAAACCATTTGGGTGACGCCGGGAGAGATTAACACTTGCAATGGGCATCAGTAATCTAGAAAAATCCACTCTTTCATTCTTAGATGATTTTATTCTTTTAATCTCGCCGAAAATGAGCCTTCGAAAGTGAAAGGGAGTCTCGGGGCATAATAAACATTATAAAAATCTAACAGTTTTCTTCAATATTCCAATGGGAGATTACAAGTGTCTTATTGAACGACCGTTTGTCTTTCCGCTTCCTCATAATCATTTGGAATTTAAAATGAAACTGTTTCGCCGCTTTGGGCTCGGCCGGGATTTGAACCCGGGACCTCTCGCACCCTAAGCGAGAATCATACCCCTAGACCACCGAGCCGTGTCAAGCTTTCCTCCACTTCCAACAATTAGCGCATGCAACAAAAATCGACATTTTTTTCGGCTGACAGCCCAGAGCCAATGTAATGATCCAAATCTTGAAATATGTTTAAAAATGTCATCGGTTGAGAAAATTCGATCGAGTGTCCTATTACCGTAGGAATATTGTTTCCCGTATCCATTCCAAATCAGGAAAAGAGGAGAGGATTTGGGACCGACCAGAAAAGGCTCTATCGCACGCAATGCCAGAATATTCTTCTAGTCGCCCTTCTAGCTAATTTGTACTCTACTCCACTTCGAAAATTTAGCTTTTGCTACAGCAAGTCTTTTCTGCGGCAAACACCGTAACTATGTGTGTACGTTTAGTTAAAACTATTATATTCGTAAAACTTTCTTACCCGAGAAACGTTTCTCTGACAGTGGTCTTTCATATATTTTGAAAATATTATACCTGACAAAATTTATATATATAAAGCTAAAAAAGGCGAGAAACATCGGGCTCGACCGGTTTTAACCCGGGACCTCTCGCACCCAAAGCGAGAATCATACCCCTAGACCATCGAGCCACGTTTCTTACGCTCGCTATGGGATTCAAAACTATTTCCTACTTACGTGGCATACTTAAATTTTAGTAGAAGGAAAGTAACACCACCACGCCATTCGAGCTTTCAAGTGGTACTGAAAATAGGTTCCATCAAAACGATTAATCCATTTGGGCTCGACCGGGAGTCGAACCCGGGACCTCTCGCACCCGAAGCGAGAATCATACCTCTAGACCATCGAGCCGCAGCCTCTGAGCTATTATTTGTATCTTCTTCCTAAATATAACTCATGAAAAATGCACAATTTGGTTTAATGAAAATAAAATCTATTCTATAAGACAAGCCATAGCAAATATTGTTTTCTAAATATTCCAAGTTTTGGCACCCGTTTTGTAATGAACGGCGGTTCACAGGTTTCGTTTTCATTCTTTTCATCACTTGGACTTGAAATTTCTCCATCGGATGGGCCGAGATTTCGCCCTAGGAACTCTTGCGCTCTAAACATGAATAAGGGCCTTAACAATCCAAACGAAAGATTTAACGGAGCGACATGATCGCAAACTATAAGCGGATGAGATTTCTTTCCAGTATTTCAGAGAAGGAAAAGTAATTACACAGCCAAGTCCTTGATGTCCCATTTTTATTAATGATAAATAATTACTGAAAATATTTTCGATCAAACAGCAAAACCATTTGGGTGACGCCGGGAGAGATTAACACTTGCAATGGGCATCAGTAATCTAGAAAAATCCACTCTTTCATTCTTAGATGATTTTATTCTTTTAATCTCGCCGAAAATGAGCCTTCGAAAGTGAAAGGGAGTCTCGGGGCATAATAAACATTATAAAAATCTAACAGTTTTCTTCAATATTCCAATGGGAGATTACAAGTGTCTTATTGAACGACCGTTTGTCTTTCCGCTTCCTCATAATCATTTGGAATTTAAAATGAAACTGTTTCGCCGCTTTGGGCTCGGCCGGGATTTGAACCCGGGACCTCTCGCACCCTAAGCGAGAATCATACCCCTAGACCACCGAGCCGTGTCAAGCTTTCCTCCACTTAACAATTAGCCATGCACAAAAAACAGCATTTTTTCGGCTGACAGCCCAGAGCCAATGTAATGATCAAATCTTGAAATATGTTTAAAAATGTCATCGGTTGAGAAAATTCGATCGAGTGTCCTATTATATGAAATTGTTTCCATTCATTCAAATCAGGAAAGAGGAGAGGATTTGGGACCGACCAGAAAGGCTCTATCGCACGCAATGCCAGAATATTCTTCTAGTCGCCCCTCAGCTAATTTGTACTCTACTCCCA